AGAATTGCCCCCACGACCTAATCTTCGGCATGGACTTCCTATCGACGCATTCTGCCCTCATCGATTGTGCCGCCGGTACTCTCTGCTTAGAACTTCCTCTTCTCCCGGATTCTCACCCTGAACTCCCGAACAGCTTGTGCACCACTGACTTCTTCCGGATACCGCCTAAAGCTCTCACATTCATCGAATTGGCAACGCCCTCTCCCGTGCTCGACGGTGATTATATCGTGACGCCGATTACTGATGTTCTTCTGGCACGTGACATTACTGTCCCACACTCTGTCGTAAGCATGGCCTCTAACTGAACATATTTACCTGTTATCAATTTTGGTTTCTTAAAACAAGTGCTACCCCAAGGAATTTCGGTCGCCACACTAAGGCCCTTGATTGACGACCACGTCACCTGTTTTACGGCAGACGTATGTCCCGAGCACCCACATCACTCGCAGGATGCCACGTGCCTCGATGCGACCTTACGCTCCATGATCGCCCAGGACCTCCAACCTGAGAAGTCAACCGCGCTATGCCGCCTTCTGGCTTCATACCGCGACATATTCGACATCGACCACCGTGCACTCGGCCAGACTTCACTCGTCGAGCACCGCATTAACACAGGTGATCCTGATCCCATTCATCGGCGACCATACCGGGTGTCTGCCACCGAGCATAAAATCATTCAACAAGAAGTCACCAACATGTTAGCCAAAGGAATTATTGAACCCTCTTCGAGCCCTTGGGCGTCCCCCGTTGTGCTCATTAATAAGAAGGATGGCACGTGGCGCTTCTGCGTGGATTACCGTCATCTGAATAGAATCACGAAAAAGGACGTTTACCCTTTACCCCGCATCGATGACGCTCTCGATTGTCTCCACGGCGCCCAATACTTTTCTACAATAGACCTACGTTCCGGCTACTGGCAAATTGCTGTCGACGAAAAAGACCAAGAGAAGACTGCATTTGTAACTCCAGACGGCCTATATCAGTTCAAGGTTATGCCATTTGGGCTATGCAACGCCCCAGCGACGTTCGAGCGCATGATGGACTCTCTGCTACAAGGGTTCAAATGGTCAACATGTATTTGTTATCTTGACGATGTCGTTGTATATTCCCCAACATTTGAGACCCACCTCCAGCGTTTGTCAGCTATTCTCGACATATTTCGCACTGCAGGCCTCCAATTGAACTTGTCGAAGTGCCGCTTCAGACGCCGGCAAATTACAGTGTTGGGCCACCTTGTCGACGCCTCTGGTGTGCAGCCGGACCCCGAGAAAATTCGTGCAGTCACCAGTTTTCCTGTACCCCAGTCAGCCAAAGACGTCCGGAGTTTTGTAGGACTTTGCTCCTATTTTAGAAGGTTTGTGAAAGATCTTGCAACCATCGCTCGACCCCTCACAGAGCTTCTAAAGAAAGACGTCACATTTACGTGGGGTACCGACCAAGCTGCTGCTTTTTCTCACCTAATCACGCTACTGACGACTCCACCCATATTGGCTCACTTTGACCCATTCGCTCCGACAGAAGTTCGAACCGATGCCAGTGGTCACGGAATCGGAGCCGTGTTAGCCCAACGCCAACGGGGACACGACCGAGTTGTCGCCTACGCTAGCCGCCTCCTCACAGCTGCTGAGCGCAACTATTCTATTACGGAGAGCAAATGTCTTGCTCTTGTTTGGGCAGTCTCAAAGTTCCGCCCATATTTATATGGCACTAATTTCTCTGTGATAACTGACGATCATGCGCTATGTTGGCTTACGTCACTGAAGGATCCTACTGGCCGGCTCAGGCGCTGGGCTCTGCGACTCCAAGAGTATACCTTTACGGTGACGTACAAGTCCGGACACCTACATCAGGACGCAGACTGCCTGTCGCGCTACCCGGTCGCTGAGTCGAGCACTATGCATAACACCGACACCGAGCCTTGCGTCTTTTCCCTTTCGCAAATGACATGCATCGGTGACGAGCAGCGCTATGATGCGTCCTTGCGTGCTATCATTGAGCGCCTCGAATCACCATCTTCCAGTCAGTCCGATCGCTCATTCGTGCTCCACGATGGTGTATTATACCGCCAAAGTTTTGAGCCGGACGGACCGGCTCTGCTGCTTGTCATTCCGAAACACCTTCGCTCGGAAGTTCTACATGAACTTCATGACCTTATCGAAAACGCGGAGCGTATTACTGAACTTTGGAGAACAAAACTCTGGATGTCTCCGCTTCCCCGCAATATGACCAGGGAGGCGCACCAGGGTAGAAGGCAAGCGCGCGCTGAGGCACTTGAACAACGGCTTGGCTCCCGTAATGGGGTCTATTACGTCGATGTGGCCGGGCCGTCACCTAGGGGATACTACACGGCAGCGGTAATACATCAAGGAACGCAGGTGGACGGCCTCACTTTCAAAGCCACAAGCTCAAGTAAGGCGGAGGAGGTGGCCATTGCACTGGCAGTATCCCATCCAAACTCAAAACAAATAGTTACAGACTCTCGAAGAGCCTGCGAGAGCTATCTTGCAGGAGAAATCTCCCCATTGGCTAATAGACTTTTAAAATTCAGCATCAGGAACCGCGATCCTACCCCAAAACGTCTTATATGGACTCCGGGACATCAGGGTCTACAGGGTAACGAGGCTGCACATGCAGCGGCCCGCGTGCTTACTTCCCGGGAAACTCCCCGTTCCCCTGATAGACCTGAAATTCCCACACCTTTAACACGGTTTCGAGAAATCAAAGAATACTACATTGAGCAACGCTGCTTATATCCCGCACCAGCGAAGGGACTCTCGAAAACGGAGAAGCGCATCCTGCCGCGTCTACAGACAAATACGCTGCTCTGTCCAGCCATACTCAAATATTACGACCCGAAAATAAGTGGGCAGTGCCAGTATTGTGGGGAAGTGGCCAACACTTACCATATGGTCTGGGCCTGCCAAATGAACCCAAAATTAACCCCCTTTCCCAACCCCACCAAAGAGGACTGGGAGACGGCCCTACTCAATAGCTCCACACTAGAGGAACAGCGAACTCTAGTCCAGCGGGCTCGGGTGGCGGCCTCGACTAATGACGTCCCGGACTAGGGATGTCAACCAGCCCGGTGGGGATAAGGGCTATCTGGCACAGCCAGCATCAATAAAGGTTTTTTCCTCCTCCTCCTCATGACCTTCCGCCTGCTGGTCACCTTGGTGTGTCACGCACTTACGACCGAATACGCCGACGCTTCTACTGGCCAGGGCTTGCACGCTCAGTCAGAAGATATGTTGCGGCTTGTGAGAAATGTCAGCGCCGCAAAACGCCATCGACACTTCCCGCCGGACGCCTTCAACCACTTGATATTCCGCCAGAACCGTCCTTCCCATTGGCTTGGACCTACTTGGCCCTTTCCCCTTGTCTTCCTTGGGTAACAAGTGGATAGCCCTGGCCACCGACTACGCCACGCGTTATGCCATCACACGAGCTCTTCCAACAAGCTGCGCCACAGATGTCGCCGACTTCCTCCTCAAGGACGTGATTTTGCAACATGGAGCCCCACGGCAGCTGCTTACAGACCGTGGCCGTACCTTTTTGTCGAAGGTCATAGCCGACATCTTGCAGTCCTGTAAAACGAGACACAAGCTGACTACGTCATACCACCCGCAAACCAATGGACTCACGGAGCGTGTAAATCGAACTCTTACAGACATGCTCGCTAAGTATGTTTCTACCAACCACACCAACTGGGATCTCGCGTTGCCGTACGTCACATTTGCCTACAATTCTTCGCGCCATGACGCTGCCGGTTACTCTCCATTTTTTCTGCTGTTTGGCCGAGAACCAACATTGCCTCCAGACACCGTCATACCGTCCCCTGGAGTACCGACCAGTGAATATGCCACGGACGCTATCACTCGGGCCGCTCACGCACGCGAAATCACCCGTACTCGCCTGACCTCTCAAGAGAAGCAACGGCGCTTGTATGACCAACGACACCGCGACGTACACTTTCCGCCCGGTTCTTTGGTACTGCTCTGGTCGCCGACCCGTCAAGTTGGCTTGTCAGAAAAACTGCTTTCTCGCTACACAGGCCCATACCGAGTCCTTCGTGTGGTTACTCCTGTAACATATGAAATTGGTCCTGCCACGCCTTTGCCTTCATGTGCCCGACAGGCTACCGATATTGTGCATGTTGCGCGCTTGAAGCCCTACAACTCTCTTAGTGACATTGACATTTAAATGCGCCGAGACGGCGCTTGCGCCGCCGGGGGTTATGCTACATGCATGTATATTGATATTCTAGGGGGCAACGCGCGTGTGTGCCTGACGAGGAAGACGAAGAGTTGGCTCCGCTCGATCGCTGGTGAAACGGGCACGCCATTACCGCTGGTTTTGAATATATCTAATCCCCAGCCTTGTCGTTATAGCGTCTCTTCTTTTCCGTAACAATATGATCTCCAAATAGCGAAATGAACCAAGTTTTCTTACTTGTGTTTCAACGAGACATAGCAGCACGTTGGTGGTTCCCAGTCTTGTACTGGAGGCATTTCTAATGCCATCTAATGACTGTAAATTAAGCTCTTTTATGTGCTTTCATACCGAAAAAATTGCTTTGTTGCTTCCTTTACAGTTTCACCACATTATCAACCTATTGATGGACACAAACAGCTTTGTTCGATAAAGTTGTTTCCATGTGAAAAATCATTTTAAATTTGTTTCCAATAACTATGTAATTAGTGCCTGCCTAACATTCATTACAACAGAAATATACTTAGAAAAGGGGGCTACCAAAATACCAAAGTCAGGGCATGGGTTTCATTGGTAAATCTTGGCCACTGCAACACAAAAGCTTCATTTCATTGCTGAAGAGTGAGGAATAGGTCTATAGTTGGTGGCTCTTCAATTTCATGATTTCTATCTACTTTGCTCCCAACTTTTCAAAGGGGCACAAAAACCAATTTTTGAAGCTGACTTTGCTCTGCCATACAAACCACCTGTATACAGAGAGGTATCTGAGCAAATGTGAGGCCTAGGAAATGCTGCTAAAATATTTTATTTTGACATTGAAGAGAATTTTCGCATGGAGCACTTGTTGATAGTGACAATAGCATGACCCCAGGTTAGAGTATCAATTCTAGGAACTTCACACACCAGTATGGCTAGTTGTGGACGTGCCAGGAACCAAAACGTACAAAATAACTACTTACGTGCCATCAACAGAGCTACAAACCTATTGGCCATGGAAACGTCACTACATCTTGAATGAGCATGAGACATGAAGCTCATACCGTGCTGAGACTTCAGGGTACAGTAGAAACTGAAACTTTTAAACGCACATTGTAATTACAATTTTCAGGGTGCATTTGCACTTACCAATAAAATATCTAGACCCTTGAGGACTTGGGCCTTTCATTTGACGCAAAAAACTACAAATGAAAGTTTTCATGTCAGTATTCCTTTATCTGCACTATGCAAAAAGTATGATTCGTTGCCGTCTGTAATGGGCAGCATAAACAGATCCTGGACAAAAGCAAAGCCAACTACAAACATATCTTGCTTGTTTTGTCTCAACTCTCTTGTATCAGTCTATGAGCAGTTCAATTCAGGCAATCCGTTCCAACTAGCTCGTTGTGGTCTGCCACTTTTTTATCAGTGTTTCGTCACACTTGGAGGGACACTAAAGGCAAATAACATTTTATGTCGTAGTGAAAGGTCAGTGCTTGAGAATGTTTAAGACATCAATCTTATACACAGCAGCACTTCAGCAATTAAGAAATTAAGGGAGGATGTGCCTTTCGATATCGACTTTTGTATTTCATGATAGTTTTCAATGAAAATTGGTACACTTATTGGAAATAGTTTTACAATACTACCATAGAAATTACATAATTGTATGTCTACAACTTTTTGATTTACAATATATTTTTACTTCTAGTCTTGTTCAGAGTCTGACTCGCTTAAAAATTATAATAGGAAGCTCATTTAAAAACACTACGCATTCTACGCATAGCGTCCCCCCTTTAGATAGTAGGACTTGACTTGTACCACTATGACGATAGTTATAGCGTGAGAAGAGAACAACGACAAAGGGACAAAAAGGAGCTCTTTCTTGTCTCTTTGTCATCGTTCTGTTCTCGCGCTATAACTATCATCATGTCATACCACCTAGCCCAAACTACCACATTTGCACCACCAGTGGGGCATTCCGAGGCCAAGCCCAATGATGCCGTAGTTTCTCAGTAGAATCTAAGTACTCAAACTACCGATGACAAAAGAACATTTGAGTGCTTTACAAAGTGGAATAAAAGGTAGCTTGAGCGTTTCGGTTTGATTCATTAAAAAAAAAGTACTTCACATTGCCCTAGAAAATGACACAAGTTCCATTTTTGCCGGGCTGTGTTTCACTATGCCATATGAACAAAGGGCATGCATGACAAAAGCTATGTTGGAAACCTGTTCTAGGAGGCAGGCAGTTTAAATTGCACATAAACTATACAGACCACTCATACATTAGGCCTTTCTTTGACATGACAAGCGAGAGGTTTTTGAAACGCTACTTCACCAAACCACGTCGACTTAATGTTTGCCTTTAGTGTACCTTAAAGACATAAAGGATAGTGAAAAAGAAATGGTAAACCGAAGGAATTAGATGCTAGATTTGACACCCAAGATACTGCATTCTTTCATAAAATGTAGTACATTGCCAGTTTTCTTGACTAGTTTTCATTGCCTCTGAACTGAAGCAAAGATTATACAGCAATTACCAACAACTTTAGCACACATATAAGTGATGCAGGACAGCTTCTTACTACATAGTCAGAAGTACACGCTCAAAAACTGGATACTACAACAGCTAAAAAACATTTCTGGTTACACTAGTTCACAAATGCTCATAAAAAAGGGGGGGGGGGAAAGGGGGACTGCTTTCACATACATTTTTCCATAAAACCATAGTGGTTTTGTGAAATGTGGTTTTACTTGGTAAGCTGGCTGTGCATCTCCCTTTAGCCAGCTGACCAGGTAGAGTCCACCATTAAAATTGCTACATTTAAATGCCTGATGACATAAGTCTTGCAAATTATTGACAAGTCTTGTATATCAATAAATTTCACTCCTAGATGCGTGACCCAATTTTCATGTTGAGCTTTCACATGGTAAGAAATGAGCATGCTCGGAGTACACAAGCTCTTAGTGCTTCCCAGCTTTTTAATTGAGAGAAACTTATACAACACTGAAAGAACATCGGCATCCAAGAGAGCCATCATCATAAGCCTGATTACGCCCACTGCAGGGCAAAGGCCTTTCCCATGATCCGCCAACCAACCCAGTCTTGTTCTTTCTGCTGCCACGTTATACCTGCGAACTTTTTCATCTTATCGGCCTATCTAACTTTGTCTCCTTTTCGTGCATTCGCTTTCACTGGGAATCCAGTCAGTTACCCTTGATGACCAGCGGTTATCCTGCCTACGTGCTACAGGCACGGCCGATGTCCATTTCTTCTTGATTTCAACTATGACATCCTTAACCCCGGTTTCTTCCCTGACCCACTCTGCTCTCTTCTTGTCTCTTAAAGTTACACCTATTACTTTCCTTTCCACCACTCGCTGCATTGTCCTCAATTTAAGCTGAACCCTCTTGGTAAGACTCCAGGTTTCTGCTCCATGAGTAAGTACTGACAAAATGCAGTTGCTATTGATCTCGGGATTTTGCAGTGGCGCCCTCTTGCATGTGACGTCAGTTTGTGAACTCCGCGCTGCAGCAGCCTCTGCTCCCATGCGCGGATCGTCTGCTTCGAATGGGAACTTTCTCAAACAAACAGCCTCGCAAGCGTCAAATAACGCCCACAACAACCCACAACAAATGTTTTCGAGTGCCATTATGAATTTGTTTTCGTTGCAGCCCAACCGACAGGGCCAAGAAACCTCCTAGATGGCCTATAAGCACGCCGATGCCATTGACCACATTGCTGGTTAGAAAGTGAAACTATGTGCGAGGGTGCTCGCTCGTCACCTGTAGTTTCGCTGCGTGATAGTAATTAGCTCGGGTGTTTGGAAGTTTCTATGTGTGTGCCTTTTTCCAGCATCTACAAGCATGTAGATACAGCAAGCGAAACGTCGCGGTGTCTCGTTGACGGCACGGTGGTGTACGACCCAGGCGACGTTGAATGTGCGCAGCCGATGCCGTTAATGGAAATCATATCACCGTCGCGGCTCTGGTCCTGAAAACACGTGAACTTAAGAACCCGGCACACAACGTGCCCGTGGTGATCAAGTACTGCGCAATGCTGGCTCTGTGCCTCAGTGTGCTTCGTCCACCCATGAAAAGGACATTAGCTTTCAAAACAATCCTAAAGAAAAGGGCACACCTGCCTTTTTCCTTGGGATATTCTTTCTGCAATGCAACGATGGTGACAGTGAACGCGAGGATATGTGTGAGAATCGCTGATTTCTGCCACTCTAGCATTCGCAAGCAACACATTAGATAATTACTGCAGAGCAGCCATTTAAATTGGTGCTTCGGCAGTGAATCGACCGTTCATGGAATCTAATAAAAATGCAAAGCAGCATCAAATTACTAAACTTGAGATAATCCTGCTTGGATTGCCATTATGAGCGTCGGCAGGGCGCAAGCCCGTGTTGCTTCACAGTAAGTTTTGAAGGGTAATAGCAGGCGTGACTCCGGAAGGGGGCAAGTTCCACCTTAATGCACCCTCTGGCTGATGCAAATGAGTGCAGTTTGTCTAAGTAATGTTTGTTAAGTGAAAGCGGCACCGCCGTGGTGGTCTAGTGGCTAATGTACTCTGTTGCTGACCCACAGGTCACAGGATTGAATCCTGGTTGCGGTGGCTGCATTTTCGATGGAGGTTAAAATGCCGTAGGCCCATGTGCTCAGATTAGGGTGCACGTTAAAGAAGCCCAGGTGGTCGAAATTTCAGGAACCCTCCACTACAGCATCTCTCATAATCATATGGTGGTTTTGGGACGTTAAACCCCACATATAAGTCATTCAATAAGAGCAACATCACTAAGTCATATTAATACCACACAGGGTCGTCGATCGGATATCAGAATATAACCAATAGCTATCACTGATTGTATACACCGTGCACAGGGCCAGAAAGATTATGCGACAGCCTGTAGTGAATGTGCACTAAACAGCGACAGCAGGTTTTGCTTATGAATTTATGGTAAGCGGTGCGCTCGGCCCGCGCTTGTATTGATCAGTAAACTACGTATTTATGTACGTACACCAACCAAATAAAACTGTAGTCTCAGATGTCTGGCGCCGCTCAGCTGCACTTACCCGAAACAATTCAGAGGCTGCGTCATTGGCTCCCTGCCTAGGGGGACTTCGCAGTCGGCACCTTACTGGGTGTAAGTTGCCTACGCCTGTAACCTGTGTGAAGGAATGGCTGAAGTACTCGTGAGGCACTGAAACATGGTTGTAAGGTTAACGAAGAGTGGCGCATAGGGCGGGTATAGCAAAAGTCACTGTCAGCGAAGTGCTTGCTGCGCACAGTCAATGAAGGCGTGGGGCACTTTCACTTTCCGAGTGAGTCAGCACTTCTTTCCCAGCTTTGGGTTTTTAGAATAGTCAAAAAAGGTAACGCCCTTTTCACGAGTGGGTGATCATATAGAGGCACAGAGCAGTACTTCACCATTGCGCAGCACTCGCCGCAGACAAGCGGCTGCAGTTTCAAGAAACAAAACGCTGTGCTTTTAAAATGAGCGTTAAAAGCGGACACCCACGGTCGTTAGAACAGTATCGGTAGCCACAACACACAAGATAACCAATTGAACTGCATCTTTGCAGAGTTTTACCATGATGGTAGTTTCTATGCGCTGCCGGGCCTCGAAAGGGCGCGAATCCTCGAACTGATGTCATACAAGCGCGGTTCGCAGAGCCACCATCGGTCGCACACCAGGCCAATATACCTTCCTCTTGAGGGTTAGTGGCAGATTACCATTCATGATTTGAGAATGCTTGCCGAATCTGATCCACCCCATCTTTATTTTATTCTACTAGTTATTTCACTGTCATGGTTCAGCTCTGTGGTTACTACCTGTTCTAAATACCGTAGACATATTCTTTTACAACTTTCAGCGTCTTTCCACCTATCGCAAAGTGCTGTCTTCTGCCGAGACTGTTGCACATTGCTTTAGTTTTGTGCATATTAATTTTCAGACCTACTCTTCTGCTTTCCATGTTCAGTTCAGTAATTCATTAGCTCGATCAAATATGAAGGATGCAGCAAACCACAATTTGTTTGGCTAAATAAACTAGGTTAACAGTAGAAAAAATATGGAGCTGAGTAATGTTGCGTAGGTGCAATGAGAAGGCAGTTAAGGCACGATCCACACAGTTTGGGTTGATACAGTAACCGATTACAAGAGCAGCCAGGGCAAAAAACAGGCTGCTAAATCTTGATCTGAACAAGGACTTTCTGAACACAAGTTATGTGCGTCCAGTGCAAAGCAACTTTGCCGACATTTTCATTGCACCATTCTGCTCAGTGTGAGCTACATTGCAGGAGTGGTCAAGCACGTTTTCGACTTGTACAGTTGCGCCGATCACGACATGCTGTCGTGCCACCAAGGAAGTGTTTGACTGTTACTGCGAGTGTGCATCGCCTCCATTTACTTTTACGCTCACCCACGTTTGGTGCTGTGGCTATATCAGCTTTGAAATCATCAACATCAAGGGTGAAAGCAAGCAAGCGAGGGCAATGCACATTCGCAGGAACAACCAAACTTTCTCTCAATAATTTGAAAATACGCCGTGATTGGCACTGTACAACCTTGCAGCGCACTTGGCCACGCGCTCACATAGTGTAGCTCATACTGAGCGCAATGGTACATGCATTGAAACTAGATGTTAAATCATCCTAACGGTATTCTTTACATATAACAACCACAGTATCACATATTTTATTTCAAACATCGGCAAGTAGAATACATGCTATCAGAATTATTTGTGGCACAACACTAATATTTATTTTCTCCCCCCCCAATCAAAATCCTGATTCTAAAATCCTGCTGAACCGGAGCAACAACTTATTTTTGTAGCTCACAGAAGTAGTTATTCTTGCACAGCATGTGTACCAGTTATCATTTCCAAAGAACTAGTCGATTGAAATATGCCCTTTAGCAGGCCACAAATGAAGGTTTCCGTGACGGTCGATGGTGTCGGGAATGAGAAACAAACCGGCCACTACCGCAGTGGCTTCAAAATATCCAAAGTTACAAATCCCTGTGTTTACGCGCAGACCTAAGGTGGCGGAGCCTGGCGCTGCTCGTAGTTGAGCACGTGGCGGCTGCACTGGCGTAGGTACTGGTGCCGCTTGAGGTAGATCTTTGCGGCACCCTTGAGGGCGACAAACGCTAGGCCGCCAAGCAGGCTACGCTGCGAGGGCGCCAGCCGGCCGAAGAAGAGCCGACCTACCAGGCTGGCCACAGTGGGCAGAAGCAAGGCGCCGCACAGCAGCCTCGTGGCTGACAACGGATCCTGCGGCGGCACCACAAGCAGCAACCGCTTGGACAGCGGCGCCGATCGCCGCCACCACAGTCGAAGCAGGTAGTCCTCCCAGCGCACCATGCGCGCCAGCACCAGTACTACGGGGATGCTTGGCAGGCCGACGAGCAGGAAAAGTGGGTCGGCTTGCTCCATGACACTCAGGCCTTGCTTGTGGCCCAGCACTTGCATCACTGTCACGGCGCCGTACGTGACGGCCGTCCAGTAGACCGATCCCATGAGTAGTCCTGCCGCTACAAACGGGCACGCGCGGTACACGCTCCGATCCATCAGATCCAGCAGATACACGGGACCCCCTGCGAGACAACAAGCTCAAAGATCATGTCGCCAGTGCATGATGGCGAATCCTCACCGAGCCTGGGCAGCACTACCACGTATTCGCTGCTGCACTGCGGGCACGCCACTTTCGCTGCACTGTTGCCGCCCTGCTTTTCGTCGATCCATCGCTGCAGGCACGCCTGGTGCACCCATTTCGTCGTTCCACGGCACTTGCACGGCTGCACCCAAGCTGCGTCGCGCTCTTCGTCTTCCGATGCGAAGCACACCCAGCAGTAGCGCCTGTAGGACAAAGAGCACCATCAACTCCACCCATTGCGCTTTCGGGGCCACACTCACCGTTCGCAGGGGCCATCGGTACTTGCAGTGCTCATGTTAGCGGATGGCACCTACATAGCCACCTGGAAACTTCCAAGTGGGTCACGTCAGGTCAAGTTGCTAACGGGTGCTGCTACTCGTACCCTAACACTGTCACTCGGCCTGCGCGCCAACAGCTGCCTGAGGCACACCGCAAAGAGACTTCAACAATGCCCAACCGAAACTTTCTGCCTCATCGACGTTCGCTACGCCACGAGCCACGCTGACCGACATCTAAACAACTCAATGCGCACATTAATCCGCCTAGCTGGCCTTGACGTCGCCAAAGACGTCGCTGCGTTACAGCATCCGAGTCAGGCACGGGCAGGCACAGGCCAAGTTTGCACAATCTTGCGCCGTATGCATACTAAACTAAGTTTAAAATATTGCAATATTTTAAAAATAAAATTTAAACTCGCATTTGATTTTTTTAATTTAGTTTTGACAACGCAGTATATTGATTTTTTTTATTTTGCTGCGGGGCAGTTGCGCGTTGCAGTGCCAACTGTAGCAGACCTTCCTCCGCGGTAGCAGACGAATGTTGCTGGTGTTTTGTTTCTAGTACACTGTATAATCGGGCCTTCTCAGTGAACTATAATCTTGCATAAAGCTTAAAAGTCGAAAGCAGTATGGTGACACCTCACTTTATTGAGTAAACCTCCCGCCATTGCAGGAAATGGTGAACTCGACGGCTACATACGGGATAAAAAAAAAGTGCGCAGCGAACATAATTTAATGACTGAAGCTTGAGCCGCCATCTTTACAGCGGAACATTCTCTTTTGAAGTACAGTGCGGCAGCCTCTTAACTAAACTCTCATCATTGGGAAGGAATAAATCGCCCCAATCTCCTAGTTCTCGATAGCGTAAATGGTCGTCAGCAGGGTTTACTCGCTAATGTGCGTTTCCATATATGTCTACATCTAAATGCGCTAACGGACCATCTAGCAGACGATATTTTCATGTGATGAAAATATCGAATGATGAAAATAAAACGAATATTTGATAAAACGGTAGAGTTGTTATTGAAATATGCCTACTATATCAATAATACAAAATCGTTTTATTATATTGCACATTCTTTTGTTGATGCAGTGAGTGGGAAATACCATCGGCAACAGATGTCGCAGTAGTAGCAGAAACGGAGCGCAGACGGCGTTTTCTGCTGCAGTGCGTCTGCGGTGTCGACGGTCGAGGAGACTTGGCCTGCACTGGCTAAAGACAAGGTGTTTTCGAACGGCCTTATGGGGGATTATACTTTCAGTGTATCCGCCAATGTGAGGGCCTTGTCTCCAGTCGAGTTCCAGCCCAATCCAGGTAACAGCGCCCTATTTTTTAGTCCAGATCAAATTGGCCACACGATGCAAGAAGACCTGCTGCTCGAGAAGAGCGCCGGCAAACAGGCCTCATCCCAGCTGTCGAGTGCAAGTGTCGAGACTACATCCAACGGAGAACAAGCCTTGGAAGAGTATTCGTCGCGCAAGGGCAAAGGAGAAGACCCTGCAGTGAATTCGCTGCCCGAAAAGACGGAGAGCCCCGACGTAGTGCCTTCTCCGCTGCAAATGGGCTTCTCGTCGGAGGTGATCGCCACTTCGGGAGCCAACTTTTGGTCAGCTGTGGCGGCGGACGAAGCCTTTATTCAAGGCATCCCCACTGTTAACGGCACGCTGGCTTTTCCCAGCTTCCCGAGCCCCATGCTTGGTGCAGGCCACCCGCAGCGGCGAGCCATCACGGGCGCACACAATTTCGCTGCGCCGACGAGGGGCCCGCCGCCTCAGGGGCCTCCCCTGTTCAAGGCCTACTCCAGCTGGAGCAGCCCTCAGCAGCCGAGCTGGTCGAGCCCACCGTGGAGCGGTTTGACCCAGAAGCGCTCGGTTCCCAGCCTCGGGCCGCTCTCGCCGGCCGGCAAAGAGAGCCCCAAGTTTCGTCGGAGCACTTCGCTGCCCAAGCCGGACGAGGACGGCTTCCAGGTGAGCGGCCCCCGAGGGATGCTACTCCTGTTTGGGGGTGCTGCCCACCTCGCAGGGCGCGCATGCGCCAACATGGCGGCGCTCCGCGGAAGCGCCCGATCGTTGCCTGAGCGGTGGCGCACGCGGCCCCCCAGGTCGCCCAGGGTCCGCTGGACACGCTGCGGTTCCCGCTCGAGCAGCAACTGCTCGACATGGTGCGCCAGGATCCTCCCGAGGCGGCCCACTACTGCAAGCCGGCCTGGGGTGGCCTCGGTGCTGCGTCGACGCTCAGCGGATCGGCGTACCCGGCCAGCACTGCCGAGTTCAGACCCGACGAGGCTCGGCTTCAGGCGCGTGGAGGTAAGCCGGGCGGCCAAGCGCGCGACCCAAACACGAGCGCGCACTACGCAGGACGCGGCGGCTTCTCGCGGAGGAAAGGGCGCGCGGGCGGCGGGCCGTGGCTCTTGGCCGGTGCCAAGTCGCCCTTCTTCCTGGACGGCGACCTGGTGCTCGAGGAGCAGCGGTGCTCGCCCAAGGGTGGTGAGCCGGCGGCCGAGCGCTACTCGCGCAAGGTGTTCGTGGGCGGTCTTCCGCCGGACATCGACGAGGAAGAGATTACCGCCAGCTTCCGGCGGTTCGGACCGCTGGTGGTGGACTGGCCGCACAAGGCGGAGAGCAAGTCGTACTTTCCGCCCAAGGGCTACGCGTTCCTGCTCTTCCAAGACGAGTGCTCGGTGCAGGCGCTGATGGACGCTTGCATCCAGGAGGAGGACAAGCTGTACCTGTGCGTGAGCAGCCCCACTATCAAGGACAAGCCCGTGCAGATCCGGCCCTGGCGGCTCGGTGACGCCGACTTCGTGCTGGACGCGTCGCTGCCGCTGGACCCGCGCAAGACGGTCTTCGTGGGCGGCGTGCCACGGCCGCTGAAGGCCGTCGAGCTGGCCATGATCATGGACCGGCTGTACGGTGGCGTCTGCTACGCAGGCATCGACACAGACCCCGAGCTCAAGTACCCCAAAGGAGCCGGCCGCGTGGCTTTTTCCAACCAGCAGAGCTACATCGCTGCGATCAGCGCGCGCTTCGTGCAGCTGCAGCACGGGGACATCGAGAAACGGGTGAGTGATCGCAGGCTAATATCGCCGTCGACGCTCTGATATGCTATATGCGCGCAGGTCGAGGTCAAGCCGTACGTGCTCGATGACCAGATGTGCGACGAATGCCAGGGTGCCCGATGCGGCGGCAAGTTCGCGCCCTTCTTCTGCGCCAACGTGACCTGCCTGCAGTATTACTGCGAGCACTGCTGGGCCACCATCCACTCGCGGCCAGGTCGCGAGTTCCACAAGCCCCTGGTCAAGGAGGGCGCCGACCGGCCGCGGGCTGTGCCCTTCCGCTGGTGCTAGGCGCGTGTGATATAGCCTCTGCTTGAGTTCCCCTAGGGACAATCAGACGCCCGTAGACGGTCGACACGTATATATATATATATATATTTATCGACATATCCTTTCTAGTCAGGCAGCCGTAGCAAGCTCACAGACAGGGTTGTTGTGCCAAACTTGGTTGGCTTGCCCCAGGGCGTCAGTGGGGGATTCAAGCCTGTAGTCAGCGCTGCTGAGTGTGTCGTTTGCCTCTCCCCGTTGATCTCAGGCGGCGGACGCCAGTGTGTTACTGTTAGGCGAGCAGTTTGTTGTTGCCGGGCCACTTAGAGCAGCCCGGTGGCTCCATCAGGCTAGCTAGCATGGTTCCAGCTGTTTTCTCTTCTGCATCGACGTGTCTTTTATATGCTACTCCATGTGATCAAAATTTTAGCCTCTGCTCGTTTCCCTTTTGGACGTTTTTTGTTACTTTTTTTATAAGGTGTTGACTTTTTTAGGACAAGTTCAAAGAAGAACTTACTTTAGAAGTGCGCGAAAAGTGGAGCGCCAAGCGTGGGGTTTTTGCCGTCCGCTTCCACACTTTGCAACAATGTGTGAATCGAGTGCAGGAGTTTTAAAGTTGCACTTTTTTAACGGTAATCGACTTTCAAGGCAATTACTGTGACGTACTAGTCAGGCAGTGCTAGCAGATGTTTTTTGTACAGTCAGCTTACTACACACACTCGTGTCGAGGTCTGTGTACATGCTCACTTGAGCCCGTTTCGTTTTCCTAACATCAAATGTGTGCTTTAAAATTAGCAGCTTTACTTGGGTTACGTTGACCAGTTAAAGCTGTTTTTTACATATACTGGCTCAGGGTTATGTGCAAATAAGAAGACTGCAGAAATGTTGTCATATGTTAGTGACCTTGCAATCACTTTGCATTAAATCTTTTTTAGATGATATTGTGCCGCATCCTACAATTCTGGCCCCTGCTTCAAGCTGCGGGCACCAGCAGCATTCTACTGAATGCACTCTAAAACAGGGGCTCCAGAACTGCAGCTTCAGTGTAGGAGCCAGAGCTAATTTCACCTACACAAGCTTCTTTTTATTCTTCAATCGTGCTTAATTACTACAATGGAGGGCGTCAGCTATCAGGGTTAGAAGCCAGTGTCCCCCAGCAATAAAACTTGTGGAGGCATTTATGCCTTAGCCTACCTAGTTCCAAGGCCCCCGACACTTTCTTCTGGTATTATGGGATTGCACAATTACTTCCCAGACTATTTTTTTTCCAGTCCTATTACACAGGGATGCACATGAGTAGACGACTAAAGGAAAATGCAAAAGTCTCACTTAGGCAACATGAAATAACTGCTGAAATTTGCAGCAAACATGTTGGAATCCTTTTCTGATACGCATGCTTTCATACAAATGAGTGCTAAAATATTTTATACATACTTGGAATTAATTCAATTCCTTGCCTTAGGAGGTGGTTTCGATGGCATCCAACTTTGCCCTTGGATACCTTGCTTTACATTTTGCGTATGATATGTATATGATACAAGAATAGGTTTTTTGTACTGATAGTATTCAAATATTTCAACACTGCAAGGTGTTTCCACATGCACCATTAACACACTAGTCATAGCCGAAGATCTTGTTTTCTTCAAGCGTCTATCAACCAAGCCAAATGATCAACATCTGCTGAACAGTGCTTGAAAATGGCAGTTACTATGTGCTTGTTGAAATGTCCTAGCCGTAGCAGCTGTTATGCACCATTTGTTAGATTAGATGAATGTATAGATGAAGACCATGTCATTATCACAAGAGTGGATTATAAATGCTCAAATTTTTAGTTGCCTTTGTAGATAAAAGGTACCAAAGCACCATAGGACCTTATGCTTGCATTAGATAATGTTTAATATTTAGAGGAATGGATACCACATTCCTTTAGCAATGACATAATCCAAAGGAGCAGTGCCATGCATTTGTTTTTATGCTTTTCTATTTCTCAGCATGTGGCATTGAACATTGCTACATTTGTTGCAAGGCTCCACATCATTTGTGCAATGGACTGTTCCTAATGGCTTAATGTAGCTTGTGCCTTTTCTTCCATTTCTAAGACATAGTTTAACTGATCGTACGATTGCAATTCTAATAAACAGTGTGAAAACTTCACTCATGAGCTGAGGTGAAACCGTTAGACTTTCGTTAAACACTGTCAAGTCATTATTGCTGCACAAAGGCTTTGAGAGACCAGGACAAAATAGACTAATAAAAAAGTCTTGCCAGATTATACTCGGTTAAGCCTGTCAATTCAATTTTGTTGATTACAATCTAAGTAACTGCAAAGTGGTTGACAAACTTATTTCACTATCTCGTTTTTATTTCTCTATAATGGTATTAGGGGAGAAAGAAAGGATGTAGCAGCAGTCAGCTGTTGATGGGCATATATTCTGCGCTTTTTCCCATCGGTCTTACTCCTGCTTAATTAAACTGTCAGATATGTATATAGTACTATATTATAACTATAGATTTTTAAAACAGTTAATACATTTAAATGCTGGTACTTTTAAATATCTTATTACTTATTTAGCTTTTTTAGGTGCATAACTATACATGTGAAAAAGCAGTTGAGAAAGGAGGTTGAAAACACATCTTAATTGGTCCACATTTTAAATATTTTTATCTATAGTGTAGTCAAGACGAAAAAAAGATACTACACGTTAGCGTTATTCCCACCTAGCTATAAACATCCCCATGCATAAATATTGAAAGTCAAACAGTATAATTACCTACCTTTCCATATTCTAAAGATGGAAACCAACTTGACTTCTGACCTTGAGAAATGCATGTTATTGGCTGGCTTCACTAAGTGCACATGATTGCTTAACATCAAAGCCAGATGCTGGTATCGTCAGTTCCACTAAATCTGCCACTTTTTGTTTTTCCTTAAGATTGCCACATGGGCATATTCATGAATTTGTTATGTCATGTATGGTAACTAATTTATTCTGTTTTCATCTTTGTAAGATATATATATATATATATATATATATATATAATATATATATATATATATATATATATATATATATATATATATATATATATATATATATATATATATATACCACAATTTAAATGCACCTTAATTACAAATCACACAGTTTTGTACACATAACTAATTACATTTCGTGTTGTGTTTCATTATTGAAGGGCAACTGCATTTGCAGTACATAATATTTTTGTCACTGCTGTTTTAAACTGGCTCAAAGGCACATAAGTTGGGCTGGAAATATAGCCATGCTGCTGTTATTGTGCTATTTATTGCAATGAAAGGCAATATAGCACAGAGCTTGAGTAGCTTGAAATCAGCTAATCCAGTTTTACTGTTCCAGACAATACGCGAGCTCACATTTTTCCAAATTTACGGGGGCACTGTGTGAAATGACATGAAGCTATTTTTTTGAGAATATGACTGTTGAGTATAAGGTCAATCATAAGCCATAAATGCAACACCGTACACCAGTTAAGCAATGTGTATCTTGTTTCACATGTTCATGCGATTAACCTCATTTCTTTGTGCCTCTTTACTACTGCAAGTTAACTCGTCAAAAGAAATCGCCCTCCAGGCTGCTTTTGGCAAGTTCACTTGTCAGTATTGTTGCTTCTGAGTGATGCTCTTTATGACATATGCCTGATAGACTATTTCTCCTAGTCCATTTCACTTAAGCTACAATTATGGTACAATTCCCTGAAAAGTATAGTTTGCATGTTGTGCTTACAGTTTTTACAGAGACTTGGCCAGTTGTCTGGTGTAAGTGGCTTTCTCAAGGTTAGAGTCGTTGGACTGGTCAGTAAGCTTTTACAGCACAATAACTCTTGGCATGCGAAAAGCCCCCTAGAGTTTAATTTTTGTATTCAGTGGTGAGAGACAAAAGTTAACTGAAAACCAGCAAGTCCACAATGTATACTAGATTAATGATCCCACATAAAGGCAAAGACACGTTTTAGACATGGATTGTATATATATAAAAAATGCTGAAAGCTGCTCTTTTATTCTGGTGCAGTCGCATCAGTTGCTTTCCTGTAGCACTTAACACCAATGCATCCTCTGTACCTGTTTGTTCAGAAAGCATTTTGAAAAGCACCAATACAGCATTAAAAAAAAACATGGACCAGAAGGACATATAACATGCGAGCAACCACATAGTTGCATAAGGCTTCTTCTAGAGTCTTTCATTGCTGATGCAGCTGCTTTGTAATAAGTGTTAACAAAGTATGCATTAGAAGTCAAAATGATTTAGTGCAAAAATAGCCTATACATTGAGGTACTTTTCATCTCTCTGTTTGCTTCAAGGCATGGTTTGTATTAGTGCTCTTTTGAGATTCACTGCCTTGGTAGGTAACCCAGAGCTATCAATGTAGAGTGGTTCGGTTCAGTGCATGGGCATCATCTGAATGTGATTTTCTCAGACACAATTTTGTAAACATGTGCAGCTAAATTTGATGTCTTGGTTAGGTCTACATACTGTGCAAGCTTTTGAATGCATCTTGTTTTTAAGGAATACACTGTCTGCATGAACAGCACATTGCTTTCACTGGTTACAAATAACAAACTGGTCAGTAGTACATGCTGAGACACTGAGCTTATGTGAGAACATGCTCTTGTGTTGCTTATCACTTTGTCTACAATGTACTTTAATGCTACTTTTTAGCAATGGACAGAACAACAGGGACACAAATCTTATGCAATATTGTCATCATTTGTTGGATTATTTGTACTATGTCGTTTTAGATAAATTTGCCTGTGAAGATTATTAATATTTCAGGGTTTTCATTTATGGCCAAATTGCTGTGACACATCATTTCACAAGTGAATACACAGACTGTTCAAATCAACAACAAACAAAAAATCTAGGCTTCAGATATGAACAGTAAATGTAAAACTGGGTGATCACGTCTTTTGTAAGAAAAAAATATTGACACCTCAGTTGGCAAATAAGTAGGCCAGAAGATGAGGGGAACAAAGCATAAGGCAAAGAAGTGAAACAGGCAACAAGACTACAGCAGTGCACAACCAAACACATATACTGTGTTTTTACCAATTCCTCCCATTGCTCTCAGTTTTTGCACATAAAAAAAACATGACTTTGCCAGTTGTGGACAACAAAAAAATGTTAGACATGGATAGTTGCTTCTTGATAACAAATTGTTGTTTCCTAATATGAAAGTGCACAGAAGTCAGTGCCACTTTGTAATTTATGAAGAATTTATGAAGAATATTTATGAATTTATGTAATTTATGAAGTTAAGAAGTAATTAATCTGTAGGCATACAATTTAAATTTAATACATAAGCTTAAGTTCTGTACCACTGAGCCAGTTAAGCAATAATACTTGTTTAAGGTGCAAAATACATGAGAAGGAACTAGACGAGAAATAGTGAAGCACCAGACTATATACCAAGTTCATGATGACAATACCAGAATCAAATGGAAGATCTCTACGTGTGCACAGCAGAGCTAAAAATGCAGATTGACATTGTCATGGTAGCATTTTTTCAAAAAGAGTGTTCCTGTCAAATACAGTAGAATGGATGTGGGAGCGTCACGTGTTCATATTGTCATTTTACAGTTTAGTCAAGTGCTTCGCTGTATATCTCATCTTTTTCTCTTTTCTCTGTATGTACAGTAAAAGCTCATTAATTTGAAGTCGGTTATTTTTAAATCCTGCTTAATTCGACGAATATCTGTGGTCCCGTATTCTAGTATGTAAGTTTGAGGGATTAATTTTAAGCAGCGGTCGGCACCAGTCTGTTTAATTTGAAAACTTTGGGTGCCATGTATGTCTCTTCCCAATCTTGATTTCGCTACTATTTCATGGAAACGACGATACTTAGAAGCCATGAGGCAATGCAGTGCAGAGATGATAATGAGTGGCAGATGCAGCGCCCTAGCCTCGCTTCTACCAGTGGGGGGGGGCAGTTTTGTGGTCTGAAATGTGCGCCCAGAAAAAAAAAACTTGCTTCACTGCAGCACGGCAGTGACACATGGACAGCATGTCGCATGCCTCTCGCAACGTCAGCGCATCATGATTTACCCACTCTTTCTGCGAATATAAAGAAATTAATGAAGGTCAGTCTGATATGGAATCTATAAAATGCTTACTTCGAAAACACAGTCTGAAAACTTCAATGATCACGTTTTCCAGTCAAAACATATACCTAATTTCGTCATGATGTTCATTATTGAACTCTTTATTTTACCAAAAAGACTGGGTAAATGATCGCATCATGACGTGCTGACACTGCAAAAAGCAAGTGACATGCTGCCTCCATGTCACCACTGTCTTGCAGGGAAACAAATCTTCCTTTCAGCAGGTGCACATTTTAATTGACCACAAGGCCCTTTTTGTTTATTTATTTATTGTTTTATTCCACTGGCTGCAGCTAGGATCGTTGTTCCCCCGTGTTTGCGGCAGCAAAGTCAGGACCAGGTATTGCTGAAAAACAACACCTGGAGCTGGAAACTAGCTGGCACAGCAAACCACTACCTCTGATAACTTTCAATAATTCACTTTTTGTATGTTTCATTAATTCGAAAACCAGCTTGATTCAAAAATTTTTCACAGCCACGGTGACATTGGTATAACGAGTATTTACTGTATTTTATACCAGGAACAAGTGTACACAGTAAATCAAAGCTCTAACATGTCTAAAAACCTCTTGGAAGACAAATAAGGTTTGCTTGAACTGTGAACAACACTAAAAAAAAATTACCTGAAATATGACTGAGGGCTGTAGATCTACCCAAGATCAAGTGGGAAATATTTCAATCCATTGGCCCTTGTTGCTTGCTACTTTTTTATTAATATAAATATGGCTAAGCTACGAAATATACATTTCAGCTACAGTTAGTCGGGACACTACACATGTCCTTGCTCTGCTGCCAGCTGCAAGTGATGGATGAAGAGCAGCGAAAGATAGTAAATGTGGAAAGATGTTGTGTCTCTGTCCTAATGAATGAGGAACAGCTGTTAGCCTGTTATGTTCAGATCAAATATGACCATCGTTTTTTTATAGTCGAAGTGTACAGACTACAGCTCATATTTCTATGCAAAACCTAATTGAGAACCGGTAAGCTCCTCGTATTACTATAAGAACTTCAATGT